CAATAAAGTCGAGTTCTCGGACTCATCTTCTTCAGAACCACTGTTTTCTTCAATCGTCTTGAGAACAATATTTCTACTTTTCTTTTCTGCATTCTCTTGTTCTTTGAACCGATTGATTTCCAACTCGTGTTCCCTTAACTTACCAAAAAGTGAGGCGATAGTCATTTCGGTCAAATCTCTTGATTCGGATATTCTCGTCACCTTTGGTTGCCAAGTTCTGTCCAAACACTTCGAGTATTTTGATATTCAACTCCTCCTTGTCAAAGGTCTTCCCTAGCCCGATCAAATGATTAACTATGTGCGTGAATCTTTTACGCACATCCGCAATTGTCTCCCTTGCTGCATTTTAAACAACTCATAGTCCCCGATTAACTCATGCTTTCTTGCCCTTTTCACATCGGATGTTCCTTCATGTGTGACCTCTAGAATTTCCCACATCTCTTTGGCGAAGCACACTCGAGACACCCCGAAAAACTCATCAAGATTTAAGGCAGAGGTAATAATATTCTTTGCGAGTATAATCATATTGCACTCTCCTATTTTCTCGCATCGATCAACTCACTCCAACTTTTCTCAACAGCTTTACCATCTACTATATGAGTTGGTTTAAAAGGACCATTAACAATTGTTTCCCAAATGCCTCTATCAAGGGATTCAATAAAGATTTTCATTCTAACCTTCCGAAAGAATAATTCACACCAGAAAAAGTGGAGGCCTGTTTATGGAGGCTCCTTCGAAAAATTCATCTTTCCCTCGACCATTGGACCGATTACTTGAGTAACTTACAAGAACCAGCTCGATACCAATTGAAAGAATTAATGGTTGAGTTCAAGAGGGGGGGTGAATTGAACTTAAAAAACTTTTTCGCAAAACTTTACTTTCTTTTGGAAGAATGAGTTATCTTTATTCAATTCTTGAAAAGATGATTTGATTTAAAACACAGCAAGCTAATATTCAGAATTTAAAAGAGATGATAGAAAGAAATCAACACACAAATTTATACTGGTTCACTTTAATCCAGAGCTACGTCCAGTTCTTGACAAAACCTGTCAAGTTTTCACTAATACCAAGTGACAATTACAACCCGTAGATCCTCACCAATCTACACCAAGAACTATCTCTTCAACCTATAAGATAGAATCTTGAAAAACACCCGATAACCAAATCCGATTCATTGTACCAAGTGTAGATTACAATCCAATCTACACAATTCACACGATACAAAAGAATAAGGAAAGAAGAAACCTGGACTTTGAATTCTAATTGCCCAGACACCAATTCTAAAGCACTCTCTCACTGTGAATGACCACAATGTTGATCAAAGCACCTTATGATATGACAAAATCTTGAATGCAGAGAGAAAACGTAGATGAACGATTCACAGATTGATTTCTCAAGTTTTCTCAAGTAGTGTATTGTACTCGTATATTTCAAAAGATAGATCAAATCTGTATATATAGAGTAAATCGGAAAATCAGAATGCTTCAACTGTCAAAAACTGTTTCGAGAGTCAAAAGATCGATTAGTTTAAAGTAAAACAGTTTAGAAGAGACTCTGATCGATTAGAATCGAAGTATGATCGATCAGACCAGAGTTATGATCGATTAAAATCGAAGTATGATCGATCAGACTGAAGTTATGATCGATTAGAATGAAACTATGATCGATCAGAATATTGTTTCAATCGATTAAAAGATCGATTCAATCGATTGATTTCATTTAAAGTTCCTTTTAATCGATTAAGACATCGATTCAATCGATTGATTTCGTTTAAAGTTCCATTTAATCGATTGATTCGAGTTTTAATGGATTAAAACAACTTAATGAAAAATGACAGACTCTTCTGTTTCAATCGATTGAAAGTCATTTCAACAGATTGAAATCCTGCAAACACTTAGTTAAAAAAATAGCCTCTCTGTTTTAACAGATTGAAAAATATTTCAACAGATTGATTTTCTAAAAACTCTTAGATCGAAAAAGATCTTTCTGTTTCAACAGATTTAAAAATATTTCAACAGATTGATTTTCTAAAAACTCTTAGACTGAAAAAGATCTTTCTGTTTCAACAGATTTAAAATCATTTCAACAGATTGAAAATGCGAAACTTGATGTTGAAAATTCATTGAGTTATTTTAACTTGTTGATTCCGCGAATCAATCAATTGAAAATACGATTATATAGAACCACTTATTCCGTTAAGTGATTTTAACCGATTGAAAATCTTTTTCAACAGATTGAAAAAACTTAGTTTGTTCTTTTAATGCAGAAAATGATTTTCAATGCTATGCAGAAGATTAAGGCGCTTCATCACAACATATAATGGCCTATCAAGGGATTAAGTGCTCAAGTTATTAAGTGCTCAAGTTAAAAACCTAATCATCTACACACCCACAACCTAAACTAAATTTATGTCTTCATCAAATTATATCTAAGTCTTCATCAAATCCTCCAAGTGCTTCAAACTGCCACCACGATCCATCATGCACGTCCCTCAGTTCCACGGTTTAAAAAACTGTATTTCACGTTCCCATGCATGAGATAACCGCTCCCTTGACCTTCGATCTCTGCCACGGTTTAGAAACCGCTTCCCATGTTCTATGTGCGCGTTAACTGTTCCTCTCTTTCTAACTTAGCCAGAATTTCGATGGTCGTGCATGTTAACTTTTCCCTTGATTTTGATTTCAAAATCTCGAGAACTTTGCATTGCTTTTTTTATTCCCCTTAACCTTAACATTACATGATTCTAATTTCTCAATTTTCTTCAACAATAGACATTAAATATTCCTTCTTCGATTCTCGATTCTATTTCTCGATTTATATGTCTATACTGTTACATGGTCATCGAATGTTTTCCAACCATCTTTTCACTTTATCAGTTTTTTAACCAATCATATGATCATCGATTTTTTCTTTCCTTCATTTTTCGATCCCTTTATCGATTTCCTACTAACACATTGTATTTATACTTTTGTTAAAACACACTGTGTTTATTTTTATAGTTGGTATGTATACTTTTGTTTCTCACCTTAACATTATAAACTCTACGAAAAGAAACAAAATTCACTAGTTATTAAAAACCAAATTGAAAGCCCTAACTATCATTTTAAAAACATAATAAATACTAAAAAGAAAATTAACTAAAAAAAGAATAAACCTAAAACTCATTTTGCTTTGTATTTTCCTTTAGAGTAGGTCATGCGCAACGGGTTACTCGAGATGAATATAGTAGTTCCTCGTATACAGCAACAAAATTTACAAAATCGGTGACCATATACATATTATTAATTGATATTTATTATTATTATTTTTTTAAAAGGAAGACTATTTTGTTTGAATTATTATCCTTTAAAAATACGATCGCTTCGAATAAAATAATGTTAATAATAGCAAACATAAATGTAAATTAGTAGATGACAATGTTGGTAAGTAGCACTGAAAAAGCTAAGGTATAATGTCGTATATGGTTGTTTCTGGAACTAGTTCATTCATTATTCACGATTGGCCCTATGAGTCTAAGAAGAAGAAAAAACTGTTAAAAAGCATTTAAAACGCAGCAGGAGGCTATAGGGAGGGGTAGAGAAGAGGGGCCAGTGGTTGAAACTTGCACCTGAAGACTCATCCAATGTTCACATGGTTGGTTCACAATTCATAGCATATGGTGTACTCATATTTTATTAGTACATAAGTTACATTTCATCATTCATAAAACGTTAATATACAATATCATTATGTTACGCTTTATTCACTTTTAACTAGATAAACTTTTGGTTCTTTCTTTTTATTCCTTTTCTGGGACTTCGATTCATTCACATGTCACAGACTTGCCTCAGTTATCTCGTATATAATATTCTCAACTAGGTTTTCTGACCAACATCATCAGCGATGACTTGCTTCGTCACCACTATCGTAAATCACGAATTGAGCACCAAATATTAATCTTCTTCATAGCGCGTAAGTGTAATGATGAAACCAAGCGTTGCTCTACTTTTAAGGAATAGTGACAGAGCAGCGAGATTACAAATTCCACAACTACGAGAGTAAAAATAAGTGAAAAAACGCGCAACCATCTCAATCCTACGGGAAAAGGGGTTTTTTTTGTTACGCAATCAAATCCAAGGTTGACCTAGCGCGTCTTTCACTACCCAACTATGACTTTTTCTTTTTTATAACAAAAAATTGTTCAGATGTAAAATGTGTGAAAAATAAAACTGACTCGTTTTTTTTTTAATATAATATTTATGTTTTTATTATAAATATTTGTATTCAACAGATTTTCAAAATGTTATTTAATAATATATTTTAACATATGATGGTAACAAATCTGTACTATGTTTGGATCCATTAAAGATTGCATATTTGAGTATTAAATTTATAGATTTAAGTAAAATGTTGCTGTCAATTGTATATATTTACGCGAAATGGATTTAGCCAAAAAAGTGTTTTTGGCATTGTTTTTAGGACTGGTTTTGAATAATATAAAAATATATTTTATTGAATTGGTTGAAAGTTGAAACTCAATATAAATTTAATGTTTTGAACAAAAAAATAATTTTTTTTACCGTTTATAAAATTGATGATTTATTAAATATCTTGTAACACCATTCTTAACCGACATTTTATAATTAAAGTAATCAATAATTAATACTAACAGATGAGAAATGTATTAAAAATAAGAATAATATTTTATATAAAATTGAAAACATTAAGAAAAAGTTATCGTTCTTTTTGGCGTGAATCCAAATTGTTTAACGATTTTGTGAATGCGATTGGAAATAGGAGAAAAGGTTTGCACCCTAGGGCGAGGGCAGTGTAATATGGTAAAGGATGGGCCATTAACAGACAATAATGGGCCTGTCACGGGCTTTCAGAGTATAAGTATAGCCCTGAGCCCAAAATTGAGTGGAGACGAAAAGACGCTGAGTTTTATTTTAGTAAAAAGACAAGACAAAAATAGAACATGACATAAACGAAACATTGAAAATTTGGTGGTGGAAAGTGGATTAGGGTGTGGAGGGGTGAGCCACGAACTTGGTGAGACCGGCGAGGCAGTCATAGGAGTTGCCTTCGGCAGAGGCAAAGTAATAGGACTTCAACTCATTCAGTTCAACCTTAAACCCCTCGTCATGTCCTTCGCTTGCGTTCCCCAACACCTTTGCTCCTCTGAATTCGCAGGTTATATAGCTCCACAGGTTTGGGAGCAAGTACACGCTCTGCGTAACCGTCGAATTTCCTGGTGGGGGGTACTTGAACACTTTACCCCCAAAAACATTATTCAAGCCATTAATCAAATCAAGAACTAGTACTTATGAGGATATTAAAACTAGAAAAAATAGTTATTTTTTGACTTACCCAACGTGTCGTTTATGTGGAAGGGGCTATTTTGAATGGCCCATTGCGTGTAGTTAGTGCCCGCACGCCAACCTTGAGAGTCTCCAACCAAAATGGTTCTGGGCTCGGTCCCCTCGGCCACGCACGTTATCACAAGGAGGACATATACAGCCTGTGCCAACATTCTAGTGCGACTGGAATCCATGTTCTTCTGCTCTCTCTGATGTCATTGTTGCAGGGGTTTATATAACATGATTCCACATCAATCAACCATTATCGGCTTCGAATTTCAATTCAATTCTGTTAATTACGCACTCCCCAACTGTGACTTCAAACGAAGACTTCGTTGAAGAGCATCCACACGGAACAGAAAATGTTCCAATCTCGTACATTTTCATACTTAGAATTTCAACTCCACGTGCCCTAAATTTTAAATTTTAACTGATTTTAAATTTTAAAATATCTGTTAGGTAAAATTTGGCATGAAAAATCTAGTTACAAGAAGAAAGTAATGTAAAAATGGATTTTGGTAGCGTTGATGATTCTAGAAGAGTGTAGTTTTGATGACTAGTTCGGCAAAGTTGCACAAGCTGGCAATTGGGAGAATTAAGGCAGTTGAGACAACAAAAGTAGTCTTTCACTCTCTCTGTGTTGAACTTTTCATTGCCTGTTCAAGACTGGGCCGAACCATCCGATTAATTCATTATCGGCCCAATTCATGATTAATCATTGTTTCATATCCCACAATTCTTATGTTCACCTTCCTGTCATATAAGAATTCTAAAAATGAACTTTTGATGTGTTTAAGAAAGAGATAAAATGACTTAAAAAAGAAGCATAAAATAAAATGAATATAGATTGAGTCAAATAAATGTAAAAAGATAGAAACGATCTATTTTTTCAAAGTTCTATAAGTAAAATGTCATTGTTTCTTGCTAAAACATGCACTAAATCTATTATATTTAAAAATTAACGAGGATTAATATATAAATAATAAAGTAAAAAAAAAAACCGATTCAAGTGTGAAAATTAGGTTTTGCAAGGTGGATTGAAAATATAGCAGTAGGGTGCGGAAAAGGAGCAATCCTCCGTGTCAGTGTCAGTGACAGTGTGGAATCGAATCATAATCCTGAAGTGAAGTGCTTCCATTCTTTCTCTTTCTTTCATGAGTGGTCCAACTTTTAATCGTGATGGTGACAACGACCTAATAAAGTTCATGACATTGATTTATCATAGTCCTTTAGGCCTTTATTCAGTTGTTTTTCTGAGGATGATGGTCACAAGATTTGAATTTGAAAATGTGAACAAACTATTCAAATTCCAAATAAGTAGACCTTTTTATGGTATGAAGAAGTTAAGGAGATGAAAGGTGAAAAATAGTTAGCAATGGTGATTGCAATTGAGGAGTTGCAGGGACCCCTCTTCCTCTCTCACTGCATATATCTTTTTTGGTGAAACAGAATTTGTATGCTTCCAATCCACAGAGATCTCAGTCCTCACCTGTCTTTATTGATTCCCATCTTCTGTACTTTTTTTGGTACGTTGCATGTGTATTCTTTATGAGAGCATATTCTATTAATTTGAATAAGATTGTTTTGGACATCACTCTCTGTCCAAACACTCACTGCACCTACATACTTGCCGATTAAATTGTATTTTAATTTTGCTAAACAGTAATTAATAAATATTTTGTCGTTCCAAAATAATATTATGTTTGAAAACTCCTTTAGCGGGCGTTGACAGTACGATAAGAGAAATAATTTTTATGTATCTTTTGTTTCAGAAATGTTTGAGAAATTTTTTAACGATAACTCAAACATATCATAACTTACCACACACACGAAAGAAAAAAAACAAACCATAACCTACAAGGAGTTGCTTTATTGTTAAAAAGAGAAAAAAGAAAAGATTTTCATTGAATCACCACAAAACCAAAAACACTGAAAAATCATTGTACCATGTGACATCAAATATTGTAGGATTAACCTTAAATGTTGATTCTAGATTCAATAATACCTTTTGTTAACGTTCCAACATAAAATCAATATGTGAAGTAGTCTAACATATATTTAAACTATACTAAATGACATACTTGTTGGACCAGACAAATGGTACTTTTGACCCAACTAAAAGGTAACTTTTGGCCCATGACAATAACCGGAAAGATGTCAGACTTTGATTCTGATACTATATTAAAGTTCTAACATAAAACTAATATAAAATCAATTGATAATATGTGAAATAGTCTAACATGTATTTAAAATATACTAAATCACATGAGATAGAAGATTCGATACTTTTAACACATTCAAGTATGCTTCAGATTGAAATTTGCATCAACTGAAGATTCTGCAGGTGTGAAAATCTCTACCTTGGTGGGAACTCAAATTCTTATTTATTATTAAAGACTGCTTTAAATTATTACGATATTAGGTGTGTTTGTGTATGTTGTAGGTGTCTATCCCTAAGTTGAAGGGAAGTTACCATTTCACCATTCACATTTATTGACACTCCAAATGACACATCCAAATCTTCAATCCAATTTTGTGGAGGTTGAGTCACTTCATAAACCTAAACTCTTCAGAATCTCGGACAACCGCAAACACTAAAGTTTATGTTATTGAGGCATTTTCTATCCATTTATATTTAAGAACTACCTCCCTCTGACTAAGGAGAAATGTTAATATGATAGAAAACTTGCAAGAATTTTATTTAATAGACTGTTGATGTTTATATTATCTTGATTCTCGCCATGTTATCGCAGTTTATCAGTAAAACTCTTTCACAAAATAAACTTCTGCTAATATATACTTGGGTAAGCTTAAATTTAACAATAAGGAAAGTTGGGAGAGTGTGACCAATAAATAATATTATATTGGAAGGTAAACAACTAAAGCATTAAACGCCCCTCTGCAAGGTGACGGCAGTGAAACCAGGGATAGTAGGATGCTGCAAGAAGGAGTAGCAGTGCAATCTTATATATTCTATTCAGAAATCACCTCTTAACACTAAATTTTTGTAACTGCTTGACAAGGGTGATTGATTCAAGGGGACAAAAAGGAAAAACAAAAGTAGGATGAAAGTTGAAACAATAGCAAGACAACAAAATAAAGAAAATGAGCTATGATATCATTAACCCCCCCTCCTACATAAAGAAATCAAAGGTTAGGTGATGGTGATGTCTGAGAAGATTGTTCTGGTTGCTTGGTTTCTTGACAAGTGTGGATGGGTGTCGCGGGAACAAAGGTGCTTGACTCAATGGGTCTGGTGGGTTGCGAGAGGTTAATTTTGCCATCAATGCAAGAAGAACATTTTCTCTCTGCCCAGCTTTCTACATCTAATTGACCATGCCCCATGATTCTTCTTCCCGAACAAAGCCTTCCAATCATAACAGCAATTATGCCCAACACTATTACCACCACCAGAACCCCAACTACAGGACCAACGGACTCGTGTGGTGATTGCTTTGTCACACTCACTGGAGGAGGTTGGTCTTGTTGATACATTGGCATAGACATTTTCACCACCTGATAGTTAATTGGTTGGATTGGGAGATTAGTGATGCACTAGAAAATAAATAATGAGTAAGTGTGGTAATGCAGAAACAAGAGAGAGAATTAAAAACGGACTTACTTAGTGTGAGCTTCTTCTAAGGAGCAAGATAAAAATAACTAGAAAGGGACATTGGAAGGGTGAAGGCAAAAGAATGGTGTCATAGTTGGATGCTAGTTGATATGTTGGGGTGACACAATTTTATTCTGAAATTCTTTTTGCGGAGGATGACCAGATGAGAGTTATATAGATAGATCTTAGTTGTGTTAGAAATAGGAAGGAGGGAAGAATTTATTTTCAATTTTGCAAGATTGTTCTTAAAATAAATATTATAATTAGGTGAGGTGAGTGACTGAGTTGAGAACCCCCAGGGACAGTAAAAGGACGAAAAGAAAGGTGAAAGAAATAAGAAAAGTGGTTACCCTTTTATCGAGAAGCCCTTTTCAAAACAACATCCAAGAGCTTTTTCAGGAGTCCGGCTACTGTATGGAGCCATGAGTGAACAACCTTAACAATAGGGTAGAGAGACTAAATCACTCAACAGCTCCACACCCAATTTAAGTATCTTTTCTTTACTTCCCTATGTCTCTTGTTTGTCACACTTTGTAAGAAGAAATTATCTAAAACATTTTAAATTTTTAATTTGATAATAAAAGTTGACATTTTAAATAAATTATTCAAATAAAAGTAGTAACAGATACTACGTATCTTCAAAATTTGAATAGTTAATTAAAACTACTCTTGGATTATTTTGAAGTGCAAAAATCATTCGGAAGTATTCAGGGTTCTACATAGAGGATCTTGTATGCATTGAAATTCTCATTTCTTTATTGTCATACTCATTGGGAATTTCATGACATTGTTATCTTCTATTCTTTGTGTTTAGTCGTGATCTAAATTTTCACTATTGTGTTGCTGTCGCTATTCAGTGCCTGAATTGTGTTTCTTATAGTCTTGTATCAGAGGTGTTCATTCTGAGGATGTCCTTTTAAATGCTAATAACCCTGGACCACAGTTTTGGATGAAACCAATTCTGATGTCCATCAGGATTAAAGAACTTTGACAGTTGTCAGCCTGGAATGCATGCGTAACATCCTGAAGATGATTTGAGAAAACAATTACAATAAAGGTTGATCCTTTCCAAACACTGTTTAAAAATAAAAAAATAAATTATATTAAAAAATTAATATGTCCTTCCACATTTTTCATCAATGCATTCATTATGTAATTTCTAATAAATTTTTTATTATTAATTCCTTATTAGGAGGATCTTTAAGACACTGATTAGCAAGATTCAATGATTATCTTCAAAAGCTGAATAAAATAAGATATGCTAAAATAAATTAACCCACCCAGCGCAGAGGCTTACTCAATCAGACTGCGCTTACACAATGGAACAAAAAAAAGGGTAGTTGATCCTACATAGCTGACATGTTGATCCTACATAGCTGACATATAAATAACAGCAGCTATACAAATTATATATTGCTATGCACACTCATGCACACTGTCAGACAAGTGGCTCTGCTGTTACCGACAGCACGGTTTCCAGCTGCTTTCAATTTTTCCCCTTCACTAAGCTCAAAGATCAAACAAAGGTAAAATATTCTCCCTCAAAATACTTTACAACATTAAAACAGGTGCAGAACTACTATCATATTCAGATAAAAGTTACGACAATTCGCCTAAAAGATCAAACAGTTCTATCCAGGGGACTTGCCCAACCTTGAGGTCACACTTCCAGAACTGGAGGCAGTCATCAAATTTCCATTTGCAGACATGTAGAAATAGTTGTAATTGATTCTGGTCACCAAATCAGCCAGATGAGGGAAGTGTCCTACATTTAATTTGAATGATAAAACCTGAAAAAAGGTCAGGGTAAGAGTTATATTCTAAGTACTCACAAATAACATTAACCTTTTCTTTTATGGAAGTTGGGGGAAGGCAAAGAAAAGGTAAAGGTACGATCAGATTCCTCTGATACTTAATGCAAACAAAATTTACTTGCAAAATGCAGATAAACAAATGAGTAAAATGCAACCAAAACAATATTGAAAGAATTATTCCTCAACACTATTTGACACCGTTATGGTCCATTTTGATTGAAAATGATGTATCCTTCTATTATATATATATAAAATCAATGGAATACCCACTTTCCATAACACAGCATATATTATTTTGTAATAAAATATGACTAAATATTAAAATAACATTAACATTACTCTCACCCCATTTAATTGTGGTTATGTTGGAAGGAGAAGTTAGTGGAAGGTTATTCTAGAAAAGAAATAGTGAGCATTTCAAATCAACCACAAACTAATCTATGAAATTTCATTGGGTAGTCAACTGTGATTCCTCAAATTTTTCCACCAAAGGTATTTTCTCCAGTAGAGATCTACATCTCATAAAGCATGAACTTTTAGTCAAAAAGCAATTTCAATCAACTTGGCAAAACTAATAAAATAAACTCAAACTCAGATATTCTTTATGTCCTATGTACTGCAAATTTGAGAGCACAAAAAATACCAAAGTAAATCACTTGGATTAATAACATCATTTTGTTTATTCAAAGAATTAATTCTTTGGTAAATATTTTTTTAATAAAATAAAATATCTATATTCATCCTAAGGGTTTTACTTAGATGTTTTATTTTATTAAAATAATATTTATCCTATAGAATTGACATGCAGTTAGTCCAATTATTTTAGACAGGCAGTTAGGCACATTTATCTTGTAGTAAAACCAAAGTCTATATAATATGCTCTGTAACACATGCAGTTAGACACGTTTATCTTATAGTATGCTCTGTAAAACAGGCAGTTACTTTATAAATAGTATAAAGAACCAATTATTTTCAGCATGACCAAAAAGGATTGACAGTCAAACAGTAGCAGCAGAGTTAACATAAGGTTTGTAGAAGAATACCCTAAGTAAGAAAGCTATGCAATCATCAAATTGCTTCTCTATCCGGTCCACTTCCATGTCACATCTTGCTTTGATTGCAGAAACAGCTCCACCACTACTTAATGTCTGCTGTATGTTATAAAAATCTAGAGCTATGCCAAGGATGCTGTTGATGCGGCTGGCAATTAGAGCCCCCTAAAGCAATAAAGAATGCTAAGACTATTGAAGCTTGCTCCATAATAATTATAAATACATCAGTCAAAACATAAAGAAAGGAGAACACAAACACCCAGATTAAGAGATATGATAATTCACCAGCTTATCAGGAACCACAAAGCATTGCCGCTGAATTGATAAAATGTAAGTCTCATGTACTTCAATGACTTCATCCAGAGATTTTGCTGCAGTCATACCTTCACATAGTTCACGCCAAGCACTGTGATATACCTGCATAGAAATTGTGGTGACAGATAAAAATGCTTCAGGTTCCATTCACAAGATGCAGAACCATACGAGCATGATTCCATTGTGTGATTATTACAAAAGGAATTTCAAGGCATTAACCACAATTACAACAAGACATTCTATTTGTAGGTTAGTAGGTCCTACTATCATTTGTGTTCAATGCCAAATTGCCAACTAAACATGTCCAACGAATATAGTGCATTTTGCTGGTAAATCCTTTCTCAGCAATTATTTTTACAATTGTCTTAATACAATGTGCTTACCCGATCCATCACATATTGGTGAAAAGCATCTACAAAATGAAGGAGTTTTTGCTCCACTAACCAATGATGCTTTCTGTAGTTTGTAGGAGATCCCCTACCCTGCAGAGGATGATTGCAGTTTCAAAAACCTTAAGGTAATTGTCCATAATTTAGTAAATTACAAAACTAGATTGCTAAGTTTATTGCAAGAAAGATCTAGATGATGAAGGGCGTGACACTATGAAAAATAATGTATGGAATTACCTTCCACATCCATCTCCTCACTTTATCTAATACAAATTTTGCACGCTTGACCTTCAGCAAGAACCGCATCACCTACAATACATATTTTTTTAAATGAAAAGTAGAAAATGTTGGTAAAAAAAGCCAACCAGATAGCAGTAACAGACATCATTATCTGAATGATGAAAATACTTAAAAGGCCAAGCAAAACGATAAACAATCTCAAAAGCATGGCAGATACCTGGTTGTACTTCTTAATTGCCTCTGTATTTGCAATGAGTTCAAGTGGCCAAGGGACCTTATACGTGAATTTGAGCATATCTAGGCCATTAATTCCAAAGCTATTGACATGACTTTGACGAGAAGTACTCTGAACGACACCAGCTGTGCTAGCTTCCTCATCACTGTCAACACGACTTTTGGTTATTGACACTACCAATGAATCTGGAGCACTTAACAGCATACAATCAGCAGAATTTCTGATTGATTCCTGTAATTGGCATGCATAGATAGATTATGAACAGAAAATAGTAGAAAGATTCCTAAATTTATTAAATAAGCTGGAGTATACAATACAATCCATCATCATGGGAGGTACATACAATAGCCGTATCACATGAATGCAATCCTTACGACCAATTTGCCAAACCAATATGAAGTAGAATCCACAACTTAACACCCCCACCATTTTGTTTCAAAGCATTAAGTTCGATGATTTGTGAGACAATGTCATGTCCAATCATTTTTCCATTGATTCAATATACCTCAATACCAATAACAAAATGGACTTCATATCATAACTCCACAATAAAACCATTACAGATGAGAATGGTTACAGTGTTCCAACTTTTGCATGCTAGCTAGAATTGGGATTTAAAATTAGAAATGATGGCACTGCATTAAAGGAAACTTATAGGGTTATAACAAAGAATGTCAAAGTAATATATATGTCTATAGACAAATTCACAAATGCATAAGAAACGGATATAGTCATTAAAAAACCCCATATCATATGAAGTTGTCACACATAGATAGGGTGCTGAGGTCCTCTATGTAGATCGAATTAGCCAAAGATCTTAGAAATGTTCACTTATCAAGCATTTAAATGAGAACCCATTCCATAAATTCAAAACATAATTGCATGTAATAAATTGGAATCTAAACAATATCCTCTAATTTAAGAATAAAGTGCAGTATGTTAGATGGAATCCAAATAGTGTCAAACCAAAATACTCTACCAGAAGAAATAGCATACAAGTAAATCTACCTGCAATATTGTGTTTAATTCAAAATCATCATCCCATGCTTCACCCTTATCTAACTTATTGAAAATTACAGTCAAAAAGTGTTGCAGCAAATCACCTGCACAATGAACAATATTAACATAGGAAACAGAGAAACCAAGGTGATTCCACTCCAATCCTGCTAAAAATGTTAAAACAAAATTTCAAGTACTATATACAATACAAAAAAGTATGAGATCGATCTAAATACTAAGTAAATACCTGAACCTAGCAAGTATATAGCCCGCAACACTGCAAGCTCATCCATCAATTTCCATTCATTCATCAACTTTAACAACATATTCACTCCAATATAATCCACCTGTCCTATTCAAAATATAGCAATTAAATATTGTTATACTCTTAAATCTTGAACGACAGATAATTTAATTCAATCCACCTGTTTCTGAATGTAGACGGTTAGACAGTACTGCATAATAACCATAGGAAGTGGAGTAGTTCTTAGGTCAACATTTTGCATCCATCGAAGTACTCTTGAAATAAGACTGCTGTTTCTCTGAAAAGGTAATAGCTCTGACACAGGAACATCATCCTGTTTTCAAATAAAATATCTGTTCAATATACCAAAGTACTTCATCCTAGATCTAAAGCTGCTTGGACTACCAAGTAAAAATACCTGAAATGAAGGTAAAATAGTGGGAAAAGGAAACAACATTTCTAACAGCTTTCTGTCATCCTGTGAGCGAAGGTATTCGGATTCCCCAAAGTGGAAGCCAAAAGTATAGTTTGTCCCTTCACTGTCAGAAAATTCTGTACTTTCTGCACCAAATATAGCTGTTCTTAAACTCTCATCATTTAATGAAGGCAAGATGAATTTTCGAGATAAATTCAAAGTTTTCAAGGCATTCCCATTCATTCCAAGGTTTGCTTGACATACTGTAATAACTGGATTTTCTACATATGACCTCAAGAGAAGCACTTCATCTTCAAAAACTCTAGTTCCTCTCAGCTCTAATGCGCCATTATTTGTGTCTTCATAATTTAACTTCATGTCAGCTGATCTTTTCTGAAATAATGTATCAATCAATAACTTATACCAAGTCTTCTCTGAATAAGGTGGAGTAATTGATTTTTCATTCTTGTCATCTGTTTTTTCCTCATTTACATAAGATGCATGGTAAGAAACAGTTGCACATTCATACCAGTTCTCTTGCCAGAAGTACTTACAGACATGGTCACTGTAACCAACAAGTCCAACTAGAGATACAGAAAAAACTTCTGGCAAGGTCAGCCCAGCCATTCTCTGAGAAGGATATAAACCATAGTTTAAACATTTGGTACTTCCAACATCATAATTACTTTCTTTCCTACAATTTACTGAGGAATTAGGTACATGGCGCATCAGCTGCAAAGATTTTCCAGCAGAAATTATTGATTTAGCTAGGTCCTTAATAAAAAAAGGACAAGCTGGACGGTCTATAATGCTTGGCTCTTTTCCTTTAATTGTACCAGACAAAGAGATGAAATCCCTCCCGTTGATTTCCTTGTCATTTGATGCTGGCACTGAATCATTGACATAATTTGTGGACGAGAATTCTGAACCTAACTTGCTATGCTGTAGCATTCTTAATAAATAACTCTTCTCCCAAAACTCAGTCTTGTCAACTGAGACTTCTTTATTAGTGAAAAAGAACATCTGCAAAGGGAGATGGCACAATCAATATAACATTTTAATGCATGTTTAGATAAACTTATTTTATGTTTGGAAAAGATTGCAATCAAAGAGCAATGAGGAGGGAGCCTTTGGCTGAAATTTTTTGTGTGCAGAGATTAAATGAGTGCAATGCAAAGCAAATCCATCATAACCACTTGATGACTTGAAGAATGCAACAGGAGAACAGACACATTCTTTAGCAATTCTTGCACCAACAGAAAACTCATCGTGAGTATTTCTTAGTTACAGTTAAACAACATAACATCAATTATTTCCGATGACACTCTTTAGCACAACATAGGAAAGAACTTCTTTCCCCTCCAGGAATTGAAAGCTTCAATAAACATTACCTCACCAAAAGGATCATCTAGAATTCCTTCGAAAAGCCAGGAATCAAGACCCTCAATGTACGGCAACAAGCTTCCAACATACATATAAAGCACCATCTGATTAGCTTCCTCCTGTGAATAGGATAGATTCTAAAGTTTATCATTCTGAACCAAAAACAATGTTTAGAAAATACAAAATGTCCAGCACAAAAAATTAGTCACGACCTCACCACCTTGTACAAGACACATTTCATCAAGCTTCTTATGAAGATAGTCAAGCACGTGAACAGTGAGCTCTGCTGCTGGTACAGACACACCAAACTCAAAGTATACAGCAGGAATGGCCTCATGCACTACTTGAAATAGGAACTCAGCCCCTGAGCAAAGACTGAAACCAACAAATGACAATCAAATACTATCACAAACTCACAATGGCCAAAACAAACTACATTTCGAGAGATACATTTCAAAAGAACAAAATGAGAAATTCCAAATGTAAGATCTGACTTTCCTAAAATCAAACTCTAGCAAGTCCATGCACGAAAAGTTGGAAACCAACTAGTCCACATACAAACATAACCCTAATAGTGCTACAGTTTAAAATTTAAACAAAGCAAAAACCTCGATAAGGAATTGGCCAATCCTAACAAGGTTGGAGTGGTTGTTCCATCTGCATTGCTCGTGGATGTTTCCTCCTTCAAGGCAAGATTCCGCAATCGCTACGTGACAACAAGTAAGTAAAGCTGATTTAATAACAAAGCATACAAAATTCCACAGAGAATAGCGTATGTAAAGTTGGATCCTATCCTATAAGCATTAAAAGGAAACCTCAAGGCACGCTGAAGCAGAGGACGCAAACGCGTTCAAAGTAGGAGGAGACTTTGGCACTGCAGATTCAACTTTATCGAGTGTAATCGCCACGAATTGGAGACACGTGGCTGCGTGGATAAACTGGTTGAGAAGAGAGTGGAGACTTTTCTGCGAGAGATGGCTGACGTATACTCCGCTCTTCGCACGGAAACTGTTTTCGCTTTTATCCCAAGAGAACAGAGGACCAGAAAACCCTTGCAGCATTCGTAGAACACCCCGCACCTTTCATCAATTTAATAATTAGATGCAGAAACACGCAATAGAATTGCCACATTCATCAAATGATGATGCAAATTGAATTCAAGAGTCGAATCGAGGATGAATATGAGTGCGTGTGTGTGTGTGTGTGTATGTGAGAGAGGGAGAGACGCATACGAGTTCGAGTTCATTTGTTCTGGAGGAAGATAATGGAGGTGCAAAATGAAATTCGTTAGCCAAGGGAGCGTAGATTCTGTGGATTAAGCTTCGGGGAATTTGTGACTCTGCCCCCATTTTCTTCTGCTGAATCAGTAGCGAACACTCATGGGCACTCACTATGCTCCGATTGGTCGCAGAGAGAGAAAGAAGAATAAAAGAAGAAAAAGAAAGAAAAGAAACTGAAGAATGTGGAGATCGAAACTATTAATGCCTTTCAAACGATGATGGCGGACTGACCGACCCCCGGGAGAACAAGGGTATCAATTGGGCCTAGCAAATGTTCAAGTTCAAATGAATTTTGTTCCAGAACTAATTTTCCTATTTTGTTTTTTCATGACTATTTGGTTTTCTTCTTCTCTGTTGATGTTCTTCTTTTCCGAAAGTAATTTTTAGTATCTTTAATTAGCACCGTTATGTGTGTTTTAGGAAAGTTCAGAAGCGCTCAAAGTAGGACACAACTCTTGCATATGATTTGCACGTTGTTTAATCTCGAATATCAGAACTACTGACGCCGCGTGTATCTACTGCATGTAGAAAGGTTGCACATAATGGTAGAAATAATTTGAACAAGGGTACATCTTCTTACTTTGTAATTAAGGTTGTGGGTTTAGCAATTAGATGATGTTTTGGGTAAAAAAAATGATTATCCTTTTTCTTATATATTTTCAGTTTATTTAAATTAGTTTAAAATTCACTAAAGTTTATTTCTTTTTGCTATTATATAATCACAAATTATTATTTAATTGATAACTATAAATTTATGAAATAATTATTTTATAACTTAAATTGCATAATATCCAAATCAAATCCATTCTTCTTTTATCTAAACTTCGATCAAGTAGAAATTTGTTAATATTTTCAATTATTTAGAAATGAAAATTTAAGTAAAAATTATATTTAACTGAAAACGTTTAAAAATCAATATTTTTTGTTTGTTAATGAAGTAATTACCAAATTTCTTGAATTCATTAAATAGATTTTTTTTTTTGGTTCGGTGTTATGTTAGGATTTTTCCTTCGAGTATGGCATATATTTTTGTTAAAAAATTACTCTTGAAATTCAAATGGGTACCTGCCACTTCTTAATCCTTTAAGCCCAATAATTTGAAGTTCAGTAGAATTGATTTTGATAATATTAATTTTAAAAAGTCAAAGGTAACAGTGATGTTTATCCAAATTAATTGTGGTAATTGAATTATATTAAAATGTTTGCTTTTCATTAAAAAAATGCAAAAGAAAATGTTTTTCAATAATAAAACACTTAGGGAGTACTTAAAGTGCATTTTACTCTTAAATGTTAAAAAAAAAAAAAGGAAGTTATTCCTAAAGTATTATACAATAAATAAAATTTACATGTGAATATCAGGCGTGAGAATAGGTTCAACTAACCTAGTATTGTCATTTTGTACATAATAACTTCAAATTTCCCATTTCTTTTAACACATCAGCTTGTATATTTTTCAACATCATGGAGGACTGCCTATCTTCCACATCCCTGATTCATATATGTATATTAATTAATATTTGTCCTTCTAACTTTTAAAGCGAAATATTAGCTGTGACAAGCTTCAAATGTGCCTGATGATTCTCATAACGGTGGCGAGGGGTATGTTGCTGGAATTGGCCACACCCATGTAATTGAGGGTACTGGATTTCAAGGGAGATTGAGGACTGTTTACTTCTGTCATCGAGCAGGAAGAGTTACGAGAAGAAGTGACATGATTAGATTCCTCGCTATCATATTTTTTCGAAGTGTCACTGCAAAAGACAACAACAAAGAGGATTATGCCAACGAGGTAGCCAGAAGCATATTACCAAATTTAACATTTATAATATTATCAAATACCAAGAGCAAATAATGACGAAAACATACCCTATTAAATTATGAATTTTTTGGAAAAACCGTGCGCCAATGGAGGCTGGAACTACACGGTTATTATTTTTTGAACTGTGACCGGGGCTATGTCTACGTGAATCATCCTACAAAACACAAACAGTTGGGCAAGTTATCAGCTGGCATGTCTTACATAGGAAAATAATTGTATCATACGAGACTATAATGATCACAGTCTTGGTCAATCTATTTCTGACACATAGTGTTTCTAGATCATACAAAAATTTCATCTTCCATATTGGGATTTCATATAATAAGTAGTTCAGATACAATTAGCACTTACTCCAGATCCGGGGTCTCCTCTGGGGCAGCTTTGCACTTGTGAATGAAGTAAAGCATCTTGATCGTGCAAATTTTGTACAAAGGCATGTGTAAGAAGCACTGCAGCCGATGGCCTATCTGCCGGATTCCTTCTGAAGCACTGTTGAAGGAAATCCTGTCCGTCTGGAGACAAATTTTCAGGTATATCTGGGGATTTGTGCAGTACCTTGAACATGGCTTGCGGCTGGTGGACAGAAGATAACCAAGTCATAAATTCTATACGTAAACAAACACAAGTATAGCAATACCATGAATAGGAATATCAGGGATGCAAGGATATTCAAATGTTTTGCTTACCCGTATTAACATTTAAACAACGGAACCAGTGCATGGTTCAGTTTAAAGGGGTATTTAGGTATCATGTTTTCTGGGAATTATTTTTTCTAGGAAAGATACAAGTGATTTTGGCATGCCTAAAATATTTATCGAAAAGTAAGACAATGTTTCAAGTAAACTAAATAGAACTCTCTTGCAAGAAGAGGGAGAAAAAACTCATGCAGAATGTGCATAGCATTAATAATTATTTTGCTGATAATAAAGATGTTTGTTTTACATAATTTCCCTGTCACTAGCAGAGATAGAGACGGATTATTGATCTTCTTAAATTAAACCAACAAATTTGCATGTACAGTCATCTAAAATGAGTTGACATAAGGTGCTCACCCCTTCATATTCATTCCAAGGAGGTTTTCCTGTCAGCATTTCGATAATAGTGCACCCTAAGCTCCATATATCAATGGCCATGGCAATGTCAGGACTGGATTCTTTCTTTATGGCAGCCTTCATGAGCTTCAATCAACAAATTACAAAAAAAAAAAAAGGTGGCTTGTCATTACTCATCACCCATCTAAATCTCCATGGTTAATAAAAGTAAAAAATTACCTCCGGAGCCATCCAGTATGGACTACCCTTCAATGAAAGTTCATATGATTTCTCTGTCAGCTGAAAGGAGCAGATTGGTCAAATTACAAGACCAGTAAAAAAGGAAAATAATAAAGCAAAAAAAATATTGCTGGCTTCAAATATAATTGACAAACTAATTGTGTCAAGCTAACACTTGTAAATGGGAAAACTGTCAGATAATACACACACATAGTCTAGACCTAATTAAAAGTAATAGAAGATCAGAATTTCAAAACTCACAATTTTCGACACCCCAAAATCCGCAAGCTTAACCATGCCCGATGCATCGACCAACAAGTTTGCACATTTGATATCCCTACAGAACCATAAACAGCGATAGCATTCAGGATATTTAGCTAAAAAAACAGAGCCCAAGGGTGGGGGAGCTGGAAGAGCTCATCTAAACTTATGACCCCCATAAGCTCTTTTTATCTTATTTTCTCGGGGTTAAATTTTTAAAGTTTAAGCTTATTCCAGGATTTCACCTAGTACTCTTGATTGAAGAGTCGATCTGATTTCTTTTTTACTTTTCACTCAAAATGATGAAATGGATCAGATTTTAGGTTTAATCAAATTTATGGTATAAGATCTCATGTGAGAAAAGTTTATTCAACAAGTGCTTAATTAAGTTGTTTATCATAATACACCCCCACAGAAAAAACTTCTACCAGATCAAGAACAAATTCCATACGAACTTTTTTATTTGTTAGAGATAAGAATTTTGCTAGAATCAACTTGTTCATCAGTGCATGAGATATAACAAGTCATCATTTAGAGAAATAAAACGAGGTAAAATAGTTCTTTTCATCAAAAGTTGTTACCTGTGAATAGTCTTGGTACTATGCAAGTATGCCAATCCAGAGAGAATATGTTTTGTGAAGTTGCGAACCACAGACTCTGTCATAGCTCCACAATGTTCATGCATAAACTTATGAAGTGATCCAGGATGAACATACTCCATATATATGTACAGTCGATCGCCGTCCTGAAAACCAAGATATTTAATGTTATTGACAACAACAAAGATTCTTACACTTTTCGCTATACTGTAGAGCGTAGTTAAGAGTTAAAACAAGAACCAATAATTAACTCACTAATTCACTTCCATAATACTGCACAATGTTGGGGTGGTGTAATTGATGGAGAATTCTGATTTCCTGAAACATGAGACTATTCAGCATAACAGGCTCAACACCAGTCTATTGATAAATGTATACAAACAATTATGGAGTTCTTAAGAAAAGACTTCAATGGAAAAATAAATAGCAATCAACAAAAGAGAAAAATGAACAGTAATTCAAAATTATTTACAAATTATCAGTTTGGCTTCTATGTTAGTTAGAAACGAATCTTAAGACTGAGGCTTATCTTTAAAATCTCTCCTCGTTTGGTTGTGTAAAACGTCTATTTGCCTGAGAGTGATCTCTACTTAATCTTAGCCTTGTACTATTAAACAAATATAGGAACTTTTTCGAGTTATTTGATCAATTAAACCCGAACCTTAGATTATTTGTTCTAGTTATCAGAACAATGAATTTGAAAACACAGTACAGTAACTGAACTGAAACGAACCTGTGATAGGATTAAAAGATGGAAACTTTGGAGCCGAGAACAAAGTTGATTGTCAATGTTCCGCCTAAGAACAAGAGGGTCTCAGCCTTATGTTTGCTAGATAACATTGTTGAGGTTCATTACCACATCTGAGGTTCCATCAAGAAATGAGATTGTTCCAATCTCATGTTTACTGATAACATTGATAGGGTCTATTATCATATCCAAAATTCTATTTAGGAACGGGAGTATTTTAATCTTATGTTTGGTAATGATACATTGTTAGAGTCTATTAGATATTGTTTGCTTTGAAACTTTAGTATATCACAATTTTGTCTTTCTCGGTGGATTTAAGAGAGAAAGGTATTTATAAATTATCTTTGACCTTAGTGTATACCGGAACAAAA